CATGCTTCTAAATATTAACTTGAAATTCGAGATACATCAGAATTGATTTATGAGATCATGTAAGTTTTAGAAGATTCAGAAACTCTAGTCTGTAATTATGTATCATCATAATAAAAATAAATGCCAAATGAAAAACTGATGAATAATGCCACAGCAAAATTCAAAGCTCTGTTTAAAAAGCTTTGACTTACCCAGAAAGTGGTAGTGGTGGCATTCGCTTGTCTTGATCCAAGTTAGACCCAATATTTTCCAAACACGCAAATTTATTAGAGCTTATCGTCTTGGAACTATTGGATGGATTTGCAGCTCTCCATAGATAAGATGCCCTGTTGCCAAGTTGCATATCATCCATCGGTGGCTATTGAAACAAAAGAAAATAAAATAATAATATTGATATTTGTGGAATACCAGAAAGAGATAACATATATGCTGATACTAACCGGTTTATTTTTAATTTTGCAGTTTCCACTGAATACGTTGCCGGTCTCACTCTTCCTACTGGTTGACTCCAACCATCGTCAGTAGGACCACCTAATCCACGATTTCTTTTCCTATCGTTATTACGATCGTCCTTTCGCGGAGTATTCAACGGAGCGCTATTTACTTGCATATCTAGTCTCTCGGATTCTGCTTCCTTTTGAATTTGATCTATCGTTTTAGGATTGTTCTCATTTCTTCTTGGGATCCATTTATTTGCCCTCAAATCAATAACATCTTGAAGCATAAAACGGATCCTGGAACTAATTTTGCTCTGACCTTTTCGAGCAACAATCTCTTGCATTCTGTTAAAATATTCCTGCATCTCCTATAAAATAAAATAAAATTTAAAAAAGAAAAAAAAGCAAAAAAAATCAATTGCAATGTATATTACCACCAACAAATATGTTCCAACATGGACATTTCAACTAGGTGCAAATAAAAATAGCATATTACCTCAACAGATCCTTTTAATTCCAAATCCTTTCCAATAGTTGTTAATAATTTGCACAGACATTCTAGATTATCTTCGTCATTCTGTTCTAATAGATGACGAATACATCGGTGCATGATTTTTGTTGTCAAAATCTGCTGTTTGTAGAGTTCACCGATAAATCTAAATAAATGAATGAAAGAGAAAAATTATAATCTTGTAAGAATATTTTATCACAAAAAATTACAGATAATTATAAATATACGCACAATATATTATAAAAATATTATTATGTAAATATTAAAAATTATCTTTCATTATGCAAAGCCATAAGATTGATATAAGAACTGGATGGTAAAAAAATTGATTTTTTTTAATTGCATTTTTCGAAAGTACTTACTTTTCTATGTCTAATTCTAAAATTTTATATTAAAATTCCAAAAATTACACAAATTATAGTCAATAATATCGAACGGTGTGCCGCACGGAACAAAATACCTAAATATGCTTACATACGTTCTGACACGATATAACATTAAATATCTGCTTCTATAGTCCAGGCAATTTCTAAATATCGTAAATATAAATAATCAATATAAAAATCATCTTAAAACTTCAAATACGTTTTTCTCAAAACTTTTGCAACTTTTTGCCATAATATTTCAAAAATTAAGCTTCACTTGAAATTTTAAAGCAATATTGTTTATATATCTAATTATCGCACTACCGGATAAACCTATGAAAACATTCCATTTTTCTGAATTTTTTTATACTGAAAAATGGCAAAAAATTGATTTTTTATTAATAGTAAGTACTATTTCATTATCTTTTATTTCATTATCTTTCATTATCTTTTATTATTTTATATATCTTTTTTATTTTAGTTCATGCGATGACTGCAGTATCTTGCACAATTTGCAATAAAGTTTGCATTGGGTGGACAAAAAAAAATTTAATTATCACTGCAAAACGACGACGAAATATGTTTAAGAAAAAGATTATATTTTCATTATATGTTTCATATACTTGTATTAATAATTTTATAATAAAAAAATTTTTTTCAATTCTCCATATTATACATAAATATTGCTTAAAATTTTGCTTTATAGTATATTCATTCGGAAAGAGAGAGGGAAGGAGGAAGGGAGGGAAGAAAAAATAAGTGTAAAATTCGAGCAATTTGATCATCCAGTCCTATACTTTATAAACAATATTTCAAAACGTGTTAAATAAAAGCTCACCTGATATTTCCTACAGATTTAATTCGTATCCTACGCTCTTCTTCTTCGAGCGCTAGTTGGAGCTCTTTCTTCTTTTCCTGATACAGTAAAATACAGTAAATACAGTAAAATAATTATTAAAATAAGTAATTAAATATTCTATTTAAAAAAATTTAAAAAGAAAATGTGTAAATGTAAAATGCTTACCGGATCATTACATTCATCAATTTCTTTTATTTTTCGATTTCTCGCGACGTCATCAATTGGATTCTTTTCGAATTCTTTTTGGCAACGCGTGATAATAAGTTTCTTGAAACTGACGGAACTATCTTGAGTATCAGGACCTGCAACTTCCATCATGCCCAATTCTTTGCACAACAATGCATATTCGACAGAGAAACTGGGTTCATCGACAGCTTTCTCAAAGACCAGATTGATAACTCCTTGCAGACGTTCTTGCGTATCGATCGGTAAATGTCGAACCTGTTCAACTAATGTGTTGAATTTTTGTGGAGTGAGTTTGTTCAATACACTTCGTACCCTCTTATAGAGGATTTCCGTTTTCGCCTCTTCCTCACTAAGACTAAGCTGCTTTAATCTCGTTGGTTTCCATGCGTTTTCCGTTTCTCGTAATTTCACGTCTTCTCTTAATGATAGCGAAACATGAATAACATTTGGTTTATTTGGTTTTGGTTTGCCTCGATCACTCTTACGACTCGTTGGTGGCTATAAAAGAAAATTTATCTTATTTATCAAAGCTAAAGCATTCTTAAAAATAGTTTAATAAATGAAAATTTTAAGATCAGAAAATTAAAATTTAGAGATAGTCAAAAGACTTCTGATCACTATTCACTTATCATAAGCTTTTTGCTTTAATTCTACTTACCGGACGTGTACTTATATTTGTCTTCGCAAATCCTGGCATCAACGAATCATGCCTAGTAATGTTCGTATCCTTGAAAGGTCTCAGGTCCATAGTGTTATGCGTATTCTAAATTCAATTATAAATATATCAATGATAAAATATTTATATGTTTAAGTTTACACATGCTAGTATGTAGCTTGTGCTACATGAATTGTATCTGTAAAAAAACAAATTATACCTGCAAGCTATCTTTCAGAACAGCCTGTAAATTTGGTAGATTAGCTGGTTTCAGTTTGCTATTGGGATCGAATTGTAAGCGTAATAAGAAATCCCGGTCATAGGATTTCCTACCGCTCATATTGACCGGACTCCACTGACCCTCCTTGTACATGTATTTGAGTAACGGAGTCTTATTAATGTTAGATACAGCAGTTTCGGTCGAGGCGTTACCGCTATTGACGGAAACCTCGACTTCTTGTTTCTTGTTTTCAGTAACCGCCGATGTAACTGTTGCCGCCTTTTCATCAATGGACGCATGGAGTGCCGATACTTTAAAATTCTCTTCGTTTTTTTGCGCGACCAATGCTTCCTGCAATTGCATTTCCTCGATAACCGCCGCATGATCGACGACATCGTTCGGAGATGCCGTAGGAAGTGCATTAAACATACTATCCTCGGACTTGGTCGAAGATTCCTTGTTGATCGGTGGCTTGTCTACAACGTGAGGTGTTTGTTGCGCGGGAGCGCTGTCTTTTGACACCTCAGCGGATACATGTTTCTCAGTTTTCGTGTGAACGGGGAGAATTTCTTTCTCCTTTGACTCATAATTATCCTTCTCTTTAATATCCTTGCTGATTTCCCTAGCGAGCTCTTTATTACTGTCTTTTGAGGCGGGAGCATGCTGCTCCTTGTTATCTTGCTTGATCTCTGCCGTTTTTGTTGCTGATACGGTATTTACAAAAGCATCCATGTCAGTGCCTTCCTTCTCCGCGCCCTTGCGGTTGAGTTCGCGGGGTTTCAATTTAGTTTTGCTCTTCTGTTTCTGCATAGCTTTACCTAGAAGAATAAAAAAAAAATTGCATTATTAAGAGTGCTCTATG